ATGCGCCGCATATATTTGAGCCAGTTGATCAAGATGCAGTCATCGATAGACATCGTGGCAAAGTATAGTATATCTTATATTTACCATTCAATATATTCGCACTTATTTTCTATTGTATTTTCAATCGGAAGGGCTATAGAAATGCATGCGTTTATCATTGCGTGAGATACTAATCAATGATCATTATAATATACATATGCGCTAAATACTAGTCTTATACACGAATATTTTTAACATAATCCAATTTATAATTAGTAGCGAAAATATTATGTCTATTAATAATTAATTCAATGTTTATTTAAATTTATTTAAAGGCCGAATAATGGTTAGGATTGTCGACCGAATTGAATGATTATTTTCCAGAAAACCGTTGCCTTTCATACCTTTTCATATTTTGTTGCAATTGATGACATCTTTTACTTTACGACATATTCTTATAGTTATTCTTACAATACATTTAATTATTAATGACATGAAAAAATTCAAACAATTGTGTTTTGTTTTCTTAAATTAATTTTATTTCCTATTAAAGGAAATGCAAATATTATTATTATTATAAAAGTTAAACAAAACATAAACAATATTATTGTTTAATATAATTATAAATATTAATATTACTTTTTTGTTATGAATCGTTTGCAAACAAAATATATATAATTATGAAATGAATTACTGTCCCATAATTTGAAGATCGGTTTTCTGGATATTTAAAGTAAAAGCAGATGTTCTTCAGTGGAAATAAGGATTGCATACGAATTGCTATTTTCTAGTATAATTCAATTCATCATAAATTATCACATTTATTGAACAAATTACTGAATACATGGAGAGTTTTATATAAATAATGTAATAATTTTAAGTTTTATTTACATTTCTTGCTTTACTGTATAATACATAATATGTTGGTCTCAAATATGAGTTACTATAGCTCTCCTGTCAAACATTTTGTTGTCTGTCTTCACAAAATTGGACACAGAATTGTTTGAATGAAAATAAAGTCTCGACTTAATGCTAAAATACCATTTTGAAAACACACGGTAATTGCATAAAGAATAAAATAACCATGTTAGGCAATGACACGGCTATTTACAACACTAACAAACAACATACGGGCGAATCAGTAATAATTATTTAATTAATTACATATAGTTTTATGTTTTAATTAATTAGGAATTTTCTGTGATTCGAGTTTTTGACAGAATTTTTATACCAGATATCAATCGCATAATTAATTGATAAGAACTTATAAATTAGTAAACTTAATGAACTGAAAATGTTTTGCTATAATATTAATTGTAATAATCATTTAAACAAATGAAAAACAATACGAAAACCGAATCAAAGTTTTGAATGTGTTATGATTTATATCATTTGTCAGAAGCCTATAAAACGATACGATTTTAAGTGAGAAATTCATTAGTATTATTATTATCAATATTTAACTTTTATTTAATCATTGATTTGATTCATTAAACCTAATTATAATTGATATGTTAAGCAAAACATGTAGAAAATGCAACATAGAGTGAGATTATCAGAGGATTAGGGCTTTAATTATGCATTTTTAATGCCAAATAATTAAAATTTTTTAGAGATATCTAATATACAGTAAAATCGAAACCATTTTTTAAGAATAAATGAATTTCCAAACTCTTAATTGAATCGTTGGCTTCAATTCAATGAAACAATCTTTTGCTTAATATTTAAGCTTAAGATCAGTGTTTGACTATGAAATCGAAATAAAGAGATGATTATTATTATGTTTTTTGAAATTCTAATGAAAGTGTTTTAAAAAGCATACAATTACTTGTTTTGTGCCAAAACTGATCCGCAAACAAAAGTATGGATTGAGGCGCGTATTTGAGCACATATTTTGAGATTTAATAATAAATATTATATGTGGTATTCAATTGGTTTTGATATAAAGCATTAAGATATGATAAATTTATTATTAAACACAGCATTATATTGGATATAAATATAAAACAGACTTATATACTATAAAACACATGAAAACAGATATGGTTTTCAAAAATTGGTTCATTTTTCATATCGAAAGTATTTTATATTAAAATCAATTGATTGGTGTATTTGATGTATAATTTTGCTTAAATTTCGAGCCATATGTCAAGCATTGCTCAATTCATTAGTTAATTTAGGATTTAAAACTCAAATTCAAAAACACTCAACAAATAATCAATAAAAAGAAGGAAAAATAAAATAAAGTGTCATTTTTAAAATAATTATATAAATCAGTGTAAAAATGAAATTTTTTAATACAAAGTGTTTTTCAGTAAATTTATGTTTGAAGTGAACAAATGGCAAACGAGACAAATAAGACATATATAAATATATAATATAATAATTGATACAATGATGAAAATTAACTTTTGTTGTGCTCAAGACTTTTATTTGTAAAAAGCAATTATAAAAACAACTCCTTATATAAACTCATTGCCATTTTATCATTTGTATTGCTATTACATAATACCAAGCATTAGATTAATAATATTATTTATCAAAATCAACAAAATTATATATAAATAATTACATATAAATAATTTTAAATAATATTAACTGATTCTCAACACACAAACAAACAAATCATTCGTAGATATAATGCCATAAACTTTAGAGACAAATGTTTTAAAGAAATCAAACAAATTATTGTAAATATATTTACTATGAAATGAATTTAGAGATCAAATTCACATCAAAAACAAATTAAATGATAAATAAGTTAATCGCACATCAAATGTTAACTTTACTGTTATTATTGTTAAATAGAAATTTTAAATAAATAATAAAAATTGTAACGATTTTTCGTTTATAGCAATTTATAAAAATTCATTTGTTATACAAAATAAAAAAGTAATGTGTTTTTAATAATTTTAATTTAAATAAAAGTAAGTGTTATACTGTATAACCAGCCGTGAAGTTCATCAATTTTATAATCCCAAACCATACACCGCTCAACTGTAATGAAAAATCAGGTAATCTTTCCTATTAAACAGTTATTATTATTATAAGTTATTGCATTATATTTTTCTATACTATTATTTTTTCCTATACTATATTCTGTACGAGAATAACAGTACAGAATCGTTGAGTTAATATTGTGTTCAAAGCTCTTGTAACACATCATATCGATTATAGCATTGAAAATAGGGTTCCAATCGTGTATTGATTATTGCATTTCTCATACAATGCAATCCAATCCTCCAAATATTGTATGCAATATATTATTATAGTTTTATCACAACTCTTACAACAACTCTTCATTTCTTATGTCGAGAAATATAGCAAACATTTCTTTCAGTCCTAATCGACAAATAGAAATCAGTGCTTTTAAAAGATTTTGCTTTTTTTGCTTAACATTAGCATAATTATGAATTACAGAATTATAGCAGTTTTGTTAATTAAATAATAAATAATGGTTAAACGAGAGAGAGAGAGGACAGGGATGTGTTACTATCATATATTGTAGGCATTATATGGCTGTTGAATAATTGGTATACATTTTTATGTTCATCTCTTTTTGTGTCGACGACACTCCTCTATAACAGTATATAATCGTTAAAAATAATAACTTTATAAACAATATTTATATCTTTAATAAATCTCTTTATAAAGCGTTCAAATAATGTCTTAATTTTTGTGCAGTTTTGATAGTCAGTTAAATTCACTTTTATGTTTGATTTATTAATTGTAGTCAAACTCTTTCTCAAAAGAGTGTTTTTAATAACAACATGTTTTTCAGATATTTTGCATTTACTTGTAATATAAAAATATACAATACTTGGAAATACATCAATAAAGGGGAGAGAGAGAGAGAGCGAGAGAGAGACAATCAGTTACTATATTGACAATTCAAGTCTGAAGGCATTGTATCTCGTGTGGCCTTTCATGTAATGCAGTCTTTCATACAATGAATTGTTTGCTTTGTATGAAAGGCATCGAAATCACAATTTAGTATTTTGTGCTAAAATACAAACACACAGTAGTATACACACAGAATATACAGAATACATAGCATATAACAGTACATACGGTATATGTCTGCCAGGCATGCGAAACGGCGACAATCCACTCCTCGTTGACCTCCTTTCCCCATATAATATAACATTCAATAATAATTTATTTAAAAATTAATAAAATTTTAATATCTTTACGCTAATTGTTGCATAACTCAATCTATAGATTATATATAATTATTAAAATTTATATAATTAGCTAAAGAAAACAACATATTAACAGAATGAACATGTTCAATCCAGGATTAAAACATTGTACTTTGTGAAGTAGGGATGAAATTAAGATTTATGCAATAATTGTGGATTAAATGCATTTGAATAATTAGACTCATTAAACAAAAGTACGCTTTTATATCGGATACAAAGATTATTTGAAACAAATGGCTTAATATAACACTACTTAACGATTATAACATCAATTAAATTTAAATTCTAGAATTCGGTCAAAAACGGTGTAAAAATGAATAAAATTATAAAAGAGATAAATGTGGGTATCTTTGGCTGGAATTAAACAAAATGTCATATTTTAATAAAAGTGTTTTTGAGCCAAAAATGCTTCGCCGATTCAAACGAGAGATTGTAATGAATAAGTATCTGAAAGAAACACTTCTCTCTTTCTGTGTGTTTCACTTGATTTTGAGAGATAAGTGAATTTCAGTGGTTCTCTAAAATTCTCGTTTTCTTTTTTCAATTCATTAAAAGAATACTATATTTGAGGCCAATATTTGTCGTCTAAAGGATGGGTTGAGTAGAAGAAAAAAGAGGGAATTTTCATTACAAAAGAATCGTTTAGTTTATGGATGTGTTGATGGAGTCATAGCAACAAGAGATGGCAAAATACATCCACATCTGGTAACTAAGGCAGTGATCGCTCGGATTCTCATCGTCGGAGTAGCGGAGATGAGGGAGAATTGGGGCGCAAATGCAATACCAGAATACAAGTAAATGAGTCTAACATTCCGGTACAGCAAACGAAGCGCTGGTAAGCGCTCAGCGACTCCAACAACACTGCTCTATACCATACCATATAATGCATCGTTAGTTCACTGCTCTCTCCCTTTAATCTGGAATTAAGTTTTTTACGAAAATTCAATTTCTGCTCAAAATGTTTGTCATTTCAATACATTCGTGTCGACTATATCTTCAGCGCCTATTGTTTACGATCGCTGTCCTCAACATGTTTGGTGCCAACAGTGTGGTCACACATCCCGCTGCCAAACGACTCTACGATGATTTACTATCCGACTGTAAGTTTGCTGTTATTGTAAAGTTTTATCGATTCTTTCATTGTTTTTTTTTGTTGTTCACTCATTACAGATAACAGACTCATTAGACCCTCAAAAAACCATTCATACAAACTAACAGTTAATATTGGCCTCAAATTGTCTCAACTCGTGGATATTGTAAGACATTTTCCAATTATTAATGTGACTGAAAACAAAAAAATCACAAAAACCACATTAAATCGCTTTCTAAACTCATTATTCTGTCTGCAATTATTACAGAATCTTAAACAACAAGTTATGACAACAAACTTATGGTTAGAACAGGTAAATCATGTTAAATACATTTACTGTATTTTAAATCATATTTATGTAATTTTTATTTTGTAAATTTTATCAAAATTCAGTAAGAATTATTAACACAATTCTATAGAATCTAGTTAATAATTATGCTCTCAAGTTTTCTGCCGTTTGCTCATTTTTATGCCTTGTAATAAAAAGCTCATAACCAGTGCTCTCGTGATTTCAAATTTTAAAACATATAAAAATTCTACTTTTTTAAATTTTTATAATTAATTACTATTGTAAATATAACTAAATTACTATGAATAAACTATAATAATGCCTCAATAATTCACTATAAATAGCTTACAAAACATACACTAATGTTACTATTTTTACAATAACTCTAATCAATTACGCCAGAATTTAGAAATTCTTTTAGATCTTGATTCCTCCCATCTATATGTTTTCATTGATATATAACATGATACACTTTCATTTAAATTTAATTTTTTGCCAATAATAGTGGTCACTGCGGCCAAACCCGAGGTCAGCTGGTTATGTGATCTATACTTACGAAATTAGTTAAAAATTTACGATGAGGCATTTATCAACATCTAGAGCGGTGGTTCTAAATCATAAACTATAATTTGTCCGAGAGTTTGATTTTTATTACTATTCATAAGCAGCAGAAGACTTGATAGCCTATTAATAATTCATTTTTTATTCAATGTTTTTCTATTAAAATGAAATAATTTTAATATATATTAATTAACGTAAAATTCTAGTTTTTATTTTTACATTTGCATCAAAAGTTGCATTTTATTTTCATGACTTCAGTATTAGATGAAAAATATTTAGAAAAATATATTAAAAATCGATTTGACATATAAATGAAATGTTGGTAGAATTGGTACGACTATAATCTGATGTGGAGACCAGCAGATTATGGTGGAGTGGATATGATTCACGTGCCCGCAGAGAATCTATGGCTCCCAGGTTTGCCTTCTTTCTATATATTGTGCCAATAT